ATTTGCATGTCATTCTTTGTCACTAAGCAGAGCAACAACTGGACTAAAATTCTAACAAGTTCACCTTCATAGGGCCCTGAATAGAACTAGTAGTGCATGCAAGAAATGAATAATACATCCTTTGGGAGGCTGCTGGTCCAATCTCTGTGAAACCTGGGGTAGCTCTTTGATTGGTACAAAGGAAGAAATCTGAAGCTAAATGCTGAACCTGGCTATCAGGCACTTTAGCCCCTCCATTCTGCATTGCAAATACAGTTGGGGTTTAAAGGTTCAGCCAGTAACTTCTGGCACTTAAACCCCATTCCCATGCTACCCATCCCCAGAGTACACTGCTGGCTGCTTTGTAGCACTATAATCTAGGTATAGAGTTGACAGAATAGCTCTGATTGTTGCTGCTTTACCTTGTAGAGGAGAAGGGATTTTTTGCTTATTGGAATATTCCTACATAAAGAGGTATAACACATGCATATCAGTCTGAAAGATCTATAGCAAGTTTAGTTTCAAATATATAGAAGTTTCATAAATCATAAAGGAAGCATGGAGACATAATAGTCCTTAGGCTACCATCCTCCAAAAGGTATGACTTTTATGCACGTCAAATCCAAAGACAACAGAGACCAATGTGAACAATTGATTTTATTCAAAATTCATGCACTTCAGATACAAAATTTGTATTGACAAATCAGGGCTAGGTAAAACACTCTAAACACATTATAGAAAACAGATTGGCCAGAACTGGAGGTGTGGCTCAAGTGGTAGAATACCAACTGTAGGCAGAAAAGCTGAGAGCTCAAGGATTTGAAAACACATTGGCCACCATTTCCCATAGGCTTCTCTTTATACTAAAAGACTATTTACCATTGCCATAGTTTGATGTTCCTGGAAAACATTTTTTGATCTTTGATGTTAAGAATATGAAACAGAATGTGGGAATAAGAAGAAATATATATTCTGAAAAAATTTAAATAAATCCATATTGCATTATCTGGGTAGCATATACATACATATATATAGAAAAGGAATTTATTTTGCAGAAAAGTAGGGTGCTTGACTCTTCCCTAATACTCTACCAAGAGTTACTTGAGCTGGGCACTGGTGGCTCATTCCTGTAATCCTAGCTACTCAGGCGGCTGAGATCTGAAGATCTCAGTTTAAAGTCAGCCTGGGCAGGAAAGTCCATAAGACTCTTATTTCCAATAAATTACTCAGAAAAAGCCAGAAGTGGGGCTGTGTCTCAAGTGATAAAGCAGTAGTTTTGAGTAAAAGCAGCTCAAGGGCCAGGCACTTGTGGCTCACACCTGAAATCCTAGATACTCAGGAGGCCAAGATCTGAGTATCAAGGATCAAAACCAGCCTGGGCAAGAAAGTCTACGACTCTTATCTCCAATTAACCACCAGAAAATCGGAAGTGATGCTGTACCTCAAGTGGTAGAGTGCTAGCCTTAAGCTGAAGAGCTGAGGGACAGCACCCAGGCCGAGTTCAAGACCCACAACCAGCCCCCCCCCCCAAAAAAAGCAACAGCTCAGGGGCAGTGTCCAGGCCCTGAGTTCAAGCCCTAGGACCAGCACACACATAAAAAAATGCTACTCAAGAGCCAAATGCGAAAGTCTATTGGGCCCTCTTCACACATTTGCTTTCTTTCCTCACCATTTCAACCTTTACCTGAGAACGTTGACTAAATCTCCCAATCTCTTGGTCCAGTCCTTTGACCATACTGTTGGAGTTATCTTTCTGTGACCCAAATCTTCATTGCTCATTCACAGAGTCCAGACAACTGGATCTACACACGGCTCATACCACCTGTTTCTTTTTCAGACATCTCTAGTCACTCCATTTGCTCCGCTCTGGCCTTTGAATCACTTGCGTTTTCTTGACCATCCTTTGCAGTGTTGTGCTTTTTGTCACCTCATGATGACTTCCATGAGTGGTGGCAGTTCCCATGCATTTGCCTGCGCTATTCACCATGTGTACAATATCCTTCCCTAAGTCTATCCCCTAGAAAGCAGCATTTAACTGGCCTTACCAGTTAAATCCAGCCACTTTTCTTTCTGAATCTCCATTTAGTTCTATTCAAATGTCATCACTCAGAAGTGGTCCATGCCACTTTTATCTTTTCATTCCTAACACCTGACTAGGTAACTTTGGTGATCTCATCTTAGACCCTTCCTACCCTCTACCTGCCCCACTAGTACTTTTGGCCGTCATCTATGGCGAAGAAGAAGGAGGAGGAGGAGGTGGAGGAGGCAGCAGCAAGCACTACTTGGGTATCATTTTACAAGCTACAGTAGAAATGTATGGGACTTGGATTATAATGACAAATCTTAACTGATGAAGTCCTGAACTGTTTCAACTGAGCAGACAAATTACTGACTCAGGGTTTCTTTCATATTCACAATCTATAAAGTGTGCTTTACTTTCTGCATTGTTAAGCAACAAATCAGACAGAAGACAACAAAATCAAATCCTCCTTTTCCCCTAAGAAGATCTGTAATCCTGGTATTGTGGAACATTTAATAAAACCTTCCTTGCTGCTCTTCTACAGGCAATTGTGTGGTAAGATCACCCCACAGTGTTTCTCAGCATCACATAAGCTATGTTCTGATGCTTCAGGTATACAGATATGCTTCATCACCCAAAGTCCAAGCACTACATTCATGCTTTTGTAGTTAGTGAAAAAAATACCACAACTTCTAAACCATGAGATTGTACCAGGTCAGTCCAGCATATAGTAAGCACTCCACTGAGCGATGAATTGAGTCTTTGTGTGTGTTTGTGCCAGTACTGCATCTTGAACTTAGGACTTTGTATCCTTGCTTATTAGCTCAAGGCTGGTGCTCTGCCACTTGAGCCACACCTCTATTTCTTATTTTTGGTATTTAATTGGTGATTAGAGTCTCTTGGATTTATCTTCATGGGTTGGCTTTGAACCATGACCTTCAGATTTCAGCCTTCTGTGTAGCTAGCATTACAGACCTGAGCCATTGGCATTAGGCATGAATTGACTCTTGCTTTAATGATTAGAAGTGAGTCAAGACAATTTTTGTTCATTCTACCCCTAAGAATTTCCTTGGCATTTAATAAGGGATTTGAATACAGATTTAATTTCAAATGGTGGGTTTTACTTTCTGCTATAATAAAATCTGCCAAAAAAGTATTAGTTATTTACAAGGGCATTATATGTTTAAGATACTGATTTATTTAAACAATTACTATATGAGTAAGTAAAAAGCTTGGAACACAGGGTTGGGAAAGTGGCTCAGTGGTAGAGCGCTTGCCTTGCATGCCTGAAGCCCTGGGTTCGATTCCTCAGCACCACATAAGCAAAAAAGAAAAAAAAGCCGGAAGTGGTGCTGTGGCTCAAGTGGTAGAGCACTAGCCTTGAGCTGAAGAGCTGAGGGACAGCGCTCAGGCCCAGAGTTCAGGCCCCATGACTGGACCCAAAAAAAAAGCTTGGAACACAATGGTTCTCACAGTGGTAGCTTTCATGCATAGATACATAAATGATTTTAAGTGATTAAAAGGGGTCTACAGGACACCTGTATTTTTTGGTGTTATTTAATGTTTCCGTTATATAAACCATTTAAGTAATAAGATATTTAAATAGTCAAAAATGAAGTTTAATTATTACACTCCAGCTGAAGTTGTAGGATATCCATGGGCAAAACCTCAGTTAAAATAAAATCTGCTCTTTAATTTGTCCCAGATGGATCATCAATACCACTCATAGTGTTTTATTAGTCATTTCCTTGAAGCAATGTGTGTAGTGTGTGTGTGTGTGTGTGTGTGTGTGTGTGTGTGTATGTGTAACAAAGATGGCCTTGAACTCACATCCCTTCAGCCTCCCTAGTGCTGAGATTATAGGTATGCACCACTAGGCCCCACTAGTACTTGAAATATGTCCAGCTCTAGCTTTACTTTTAGAATTTAGTGACTTTGCAAAAGTACTTGAAGGCTTAACACTGCTATACCTCAGCTCTGGTATTATGATGATTCAGTGAAATCAGCTTCATGCCTGACAGTGCCAAAATCATATCAAATAGATACTTCTTCTGGGATTTACGTATGGCTCGCCACATCCCTATATTAAACTCACAAAGTATACTTAGAAATGAAATGGAGAAAACTGACCAGAAAACAAATCTAAGGGCTTTAAAAGTTATTCAGAACATGAACAAATGTTTTAAAGATCAATGATTCAAGGGCATACATCTACAGAATTCAAGGACACAGAAAATGGATTAGACTTGTTTTTATCTTACCAGTTGTTATGACTCACAGTGTTTTAAAGTAGCCACAGGTACACATAAAAGGCAAAAGGAACAAATGCCAGACTTCCTTATAAGTAAAGCCAATAATATCATTCAAATTTGTGTCTTCTGCAGGGATACAGATTTCCATACTTTCTGGTCAGTTGTTTTTACTTCAAACCTTAACTCTGCCAATACTGAATTCAAGTCATAAGATATTCTGGACATTTTTAGGATTACATGTAATACTGAAAACAAACAAACAAACCCAGAATGTGAGGTTTTGGTTTCCTTTTAGCTAATCATCAAACATAATTTCATTTGAATGAGAAATAGTCTTTCAGTTATCTTAAATCTTTGAACAGAAAAAAAAAACTTAGAATAAAGTTAGTGATCTCAGTTGCTAAATCTCCAAATCTTCCAATTCAGACTTAACAGAAAAATGATTACAGGAGGACAAAAATCACACACATAATTTCTTGGGGCCATCAGTGTGGGTCGAATTTTCTCATCCTGCTGAATTCTACCACATGTTACTTTTCCAAGGTTTGAATGTGCTTTGCAATAGAACTTCCTAAGAAGATTCAAAAGCCATTGTGCTGGGGCTTACACAGTAAGCACTTTGTGTGATTCTTAATCACATTTGAATCTAGAACAGTGTTCTGGGTCACATTTTTTTTTCTCAACATGCTTCTAGTGATTTGTGCTCTATAAATAAAAACTCATTTCCACACCTCCATGGGGGTATGAAGCTAACCAGCCATCCATAGGATGAATGGGATAAAAATGGCCGGAAGAATAGTGTATGATGCCAGACCCATGCAAATCACGAATGCCAATCCCAAGAGGGCTGAAAGAAAGACACTTCTCTGGGAACGAATGATTATCTTCACAACTTCACAAAACTGTAAAATAAAAATGAAAAGTATCAGGAAAGGTGGCTAAACCTAAAAAAAGGAACACATATAACTTATATATAAAGAAACACACATAATCCAAGTTCCTTGAGATTTGTTAAATCATGCAAGATGTATACTGTCCAGATTTGTCACTCTGTGTCCCATAGAACCTAAAATGATGCTTCAGGTAACCAGGTTAAGAAGGCAGCAGTTGCTTTTGCAAATATAGAATTTTATAGAAAACCATGGAATGTAGCTACAGAACAGTTACTCAGCTCCAAAAGTTAAAGCTACCTAATAGCATACTTGAAAATTAAGAGTTATCTTCAGTTAAAAGAACTTAGCCTACGGGTAAATTCAGCACCCTAAATTTTAGTCATACCAATGATAACTGTCTTAAAAGTCTCAAAATGGGAAAGATATAGAGAGGCAATGTCACTGTATTGTCATAACCATTCTCTGCCTAAATAAATGAAACTTGCCACCAATTATCTATTTGCATAAATGAGTAAGTTTTGTTTTGTTTCTTTGTTGGCTCTAGGCTTGAACTCAGGTTCTGTCCCTGAGCTTCATTTTGGCTTAAGGTTAATGCTCTATCAGTAGTGCCACAGCTCCACTTCTGGCTTTTGGTAGTTAACTGGAAATAAAAATATCATGGACTTTACTGCCAGGGATGTCTTCGAAGGCCAATCCTCAGATCTCAGCCTCCTGAGTAGCTAAGATTACAGATGTGAGTCACTGGTGCCTTGCTGTAAATTGTCTTAATGGAGTCATGTTTATCTTTTTTTTTTTTAACAATAGTGCTGTAATTCAGACAAACTGAAAATCATGGTCAACTCTTTTTCCTCCTAAATATTTCCTTTAGGTTTATCTGTTTCTAATGTCCAAGCCCTGTTCACTGAGCCATTGGTCCAGGAAGCATTTCTAGAGATATTTGACTGTATTGAAATTTAGAGAAGGTGTCAAGAAGCTGATAGGGTCACTTTTGTGAACACTGAATTCCCCTGAAAATAAAGTGGCACTGAATTTATTTTGGCAATACAAAAGCAGTATTAGCAAAGTGGGGGGTAGGGTGAAGAGGTAGGGCAGGGAGAATCACAGAAAAGCATCATGAATACTCATTAACCGGTTAACAATTTACAAAATACTGAGGGTAAATTAAAAAGAAATTACAAAGAAGGAAAAAACTCTTAAGGCTCATTGCAATTTCAATCTAATTGCAGTGTTTTGCTCAGGGAAAGCATTGTTGAAAGCTTTTACAAACAGAACCTAAGTAAGAGAGTTGGCCATTCTTATGTTAAAATGTTAATAACTGTGAAATCAACCCTAAAATCATATACTTCTTGATGATGGCCTCAAAAAGGAGAAATCCTTCAGTACTGATGACCTACTCCATTAAATGCAACTTTTACAATTAGAAAATTTGGGATGAGAACTTTTTCCCCCTTGAGGAAATCTAGTTTAGGGCCAAATTGTTTGTTAGACCATTCAAAGTGAAGACAAAAACTCCATTTCACAAGAGGTACTATGTAGCAGCAGTAATTAAAACACTTCAGTGACAAAATTTCCAGAGAAACAACTACTCCAAACTAGTTGGGTTTTTTTTCCTGTAGATTAACTGTTGTATAATGTTTGAAAAACTTGTAATGTTTTTCTGTGGAATTACCTGTGTTTCATGAAAGGGTAAGTTTCAAATTATCAACCAGAAAGACTGTTTTTCTCAGAAAAATTATTTACTTGGTCCTTAAGTAAATCTGACATCTTTCCTGTTGTACGCTTTTGGAGCTAGTGTTTGTAAATGTGCGGAAGCTCATTTCTAAACAGGCCTGTACTGGAGCTGTGATTCTTGAATCACTGCAGTGTTCTAACTGTATTTTTATTTTGCTTGGAAAAGAATTTATACATTGAATCTATGTTGGTCCTCTATAAGATCTAGATAAGCTTAACAATTCCATACTTTGAAATGGAGAGTTTTAAATGGAAACTTTTAAAATGGAGATTTTTTCCCATAAAAATTAAAATGCATAGCAAGTGAAATCTAAGAAGCAAGCAGGGTATCAGTGGCTCAAGCCTATAACTCTAGCTACCTGGGTGGCTGAGGGTGGAGGATTTTGGCTCAAGGCCAGACTGGGCAGGAAAATTAAGACACTAGCTCAACCAACAAAAACCTGGAGGCATGGGTCAAGTAGTAGAGCACCAGCTATCAAGTGCAAGACCCAGTCTTTAAACAACAAGATGTGGAGCCTGGTTATATGGACTTAGATTATTTTGGTATAATTTATTAAAAAATCTAAACATGAAGAGGAACATTAAAGCTTATTATCTGATTGCCCACGTGTCCATGAATGAATATTAACAATACCCCTTCAACACTATAGTTAAGGCTGAGAAAGCTTTCTACTTACTGCAAATGAAGTTTCAGGCTTAAAAGATTATCTTTAAAACTTAAGTTTCACACGGGGTAATTGACCCATGCCTCCTCTCTTTGGATTGTGGCTTAAGAATCTTAGTTCTAATATGACCTTTTTCAAAGTATCTATAATAATTACCTTCTCAAATTTGAGGGCTGGGTCTTGAAAAATCAATTGTTTTCATCTCTGGGCAATTATAAGCAATCCAGTCTATCATGACCTTGCAGCTAACGGGTAATGGATGCTGAATTGAGGTGGAAATTAGCCACCAAAGAAACATTTCTTTATACTAAGGAAAAGACTACTCTGAAGCAGACCCGGAAATTAGAGCTCTACCAGCAATTTTGACAGTTTATATTAAGCAAAGGGAATTCACTCTCTGCAGCTTGGAGAGGGAGAGAGAGAGAAAAAAACAACACCCCACACACTTTAAAGATAGGATGTGCTTCAAATGTTATAAAGAATGGCTATCCTTCTTCCGATTGCAATTCTAGGGGGAAAGTTGCAGCACACGAGGCAGAATTCCTATGACCCCTTCCTTAGTCACCTGCCCTTCGTCGTCTGAAGGTTTCTGACCACTGGGCAGACTCTGGAATCCTTAGACACATCCAGTATGGCCACACCCTTTCTCGGTGCATTTCCAGGTATCCTGGAAGACTTTTCTTTTTCCTGACCTATCTGAGAAACCAGAAATGACCGTCGATCATCTAGAACTCTTAAGAATGGTGTGGAGGACGGGGGAGGGGGGGAGTGGTGTCCCGGGAGACCCGTGCTCCCAGAGAGGATAAAAGGATGGGGAAGGGCTTCCCCACCCCCAACTCCCTGTGCGTCACGTGGTACCTGGTCAGCCTGGGGACTGAGCCGGGTGCCGTATCTGCAGTTGGTCACGAAATGCTCGCAGTTGTTCCAGAGCAGGCTGTAGGGGGTGAAGCCCAGCTGCGCCTCCGCCCGGAGCGCCACTTCCTCGTTGAGCAGCGCCTTCTTCCTGAGGGACTTGTCCAGGTGGTTGACCAGGATGTCGGCTCCGTAGGCGAAGTCCTCCACCGTGTCCACGCGGACGCTGGCCACCTTGCCGATGACGCCCAGGATGAGACGCTTGTTGGAGACGACCTGTCGAGTGCGCCCTTCGTCCTTGGTCAGGGCCAACAGGATGTCGGGCATGAGGTGGGCGACGCGGTTGTCACCCAGGTAGATGCCGTAGTGGGTGAAGTTGGTGCGGGGCACCTCCAGCACGTCGCCGCGGAGGAAGGAGCTGATCTCATAGAAACGGCTCCTGGCTTTGTCTTCACCCAGGGCGCCCAAACTGAAGAGCCTGAAGTTCGAGATGAGGAGCAGCTTCTCCAGCAGGAGGGACGCCGCCTCCAGCATGGGGTTCTTCATCCTGCTCGGGAAGCGCTGCGGCCGGGGCACCGGCGCAGCTGCAAGGCGGCTCACCTGGGCTCACCTGCGGGCCCGCGCTGGGCGTCGGGGCGGCTCCGGGGGCCGGGAGAAAGAAGACAGGATGGAGAGGGACCCAGGTGGGAGGGGGAACGAGTGGCAGCGGGCGCGCGCCCCGAGGTGCAGACGCGTAGGGCGCACCTTGGAGGTAGGGCGGGGCGCAGGGCCGAGCGCGGCGCACGCCAGGCTCGCCGAGCCTCCGGTATTTATAGCCAGCGAAGGGGGCGGGGGCGAACGTCGGCCCCGCCCCTGCGCGCACTGATTGGGCGCCGAGGGCAGGGGAGGTCGAGAGAGTCGGGGCTCTTTGAAAGGGGGAGCTCTCAGGGACTTCCCCCCCACACCCACTCCTGTTGTCGTATTCTCGACCTTTCACCCGAGACCCAAGCTCGCCGGCTGAGCGGCAGGTTTGGGGAAATAGAGGTGCATGCATGGCGGGGTGAAAGGTGGTTCTGCACCTGTCGGGACTGGGGCGCGGTCGGGGAACTCCGGGATAGCTATCTTTAGGAGCAAAGCCCTCTAGGCCAAGCTTTTGGAGGGAGACCGCCGCCCTCGAAGCCGGGGTGATGCCTGGAGAGCTCGGCTAGCTAAAGCCTTGGCGGGTACCCCGCCGAGTGCGCGCGCTGGGAAAGCCCGGGGATCGTCGCCTACAGGGACCTCTGGCCTCTTTAAACGCCCGGGATCCCCGCTGGTTCCAGGGTCCACGTGGGGGGCAACCTCAGGGGCTCCGCTTCCCTCCACCTCCCCGGCCAGGGGTCGGAACCCGAAGCCTCTCCGCGCTCGCTCCACGGCGGCGGGGGCGGTTGAGCGCGCGCCTCCCAACGATCAGCCCGGAAAACCGCGGCCCGCAACGTGTGCCAGGACAGTCCCCCCCCCCCCCCACGTCGGGGGCACGGCGCCGGGACCAAGAGCGCACCTGTACAGCGGGGACTAAGCGGAGCTGCAACACCGGGAGGCGATGCTGCTCTCCGGGCCTGGGCGGGACACCGGAGCCGCCCCTCCTCTCGCGGTGAGGCGGCCCTCGGTGCGCCAGCCTGGGCAGGCTGTGTGCGCACCGCGCCTCTCCAGCTCTGCACGCATGCGTTATGTAAATGATTGAACTCCGCAGGCTCCTCAAAGCTGGCCGGGTGGAGGCTCAAAAGTTTTCCTCTGAGAAAGCTGCTCCGCTGGCCTGCGGAGGATGGAGGCTTTGACCCTTCATCTTACCTGCAGGTTGAAGGAGCGCTGGAGACCCGGCGCCGAGGAGGCCCAGTTCCTCCTCCTCCTCCTCCTCCTCCTCCTCCTCCTCCTCCTCCTCCTCCTCCTCCTCCTCCTCTCCCAGGCCAGGCCTTTTGCTCCCAACCCGTGTCCGTGGCGATCACTTCCCAATGCTCTTTTGTTCATGGGGAAATCACATCTAGTCCCACAAAGGAGGCCGAGAGAGGGAAGTGCAGCTTTCTGAATCTGGAAGGAGGCCGTGAAACGGCTTCATCTCATTCCTGAAATCTAGACTTATTTTGTCGGGAAGAGTTATGCCAGGATGTAACATTAAATGCTCATTGAGCTGTTTGCTATTCCTTTCTTGATCAACCATAGTGCAACCTTACCTTGCAAATGCCATCTGCTTCCGAAGGTTTTCTCAGTGGCAGATATCATTGCGTGGCTGAATGATTAGTTTTCAGAAGACTCAGCGGAGACACACTTCATCAAAATACATTTAAGCAATCCGAACTACTCAGGAGGCTGAGATCTGAGGATGGAAGGTCGAAGCCAAGCCTGGGCAGGAAAGTCTGTGAGACACTTGTCTCCAGTAAACTACTCAGAAAAAAAAAAAAAAAAAACTGGAAATGGTATTGCAGCTCAAGTGGTAGAGTGCTAGCCTTGAGCAAAAGCAGCTCAGGGACAGTACCCAAGCCCAGAGTTAAAGCCCCAGGACAGGTAAAAAGAAAGAAAAAAATCTAAACACTTAACAGGTTTCTTTTCATTTGTTGTTTTTTTCTGGTCATGGGGGCCTGAACTCTGGTCTGGGCGCTATCCCTCAGCTCTTCAGCTCAAGGCTAGTGCTCTACCACTTGAGCCACAGCACCACTTCCGGTTTTTTCTGCTTATGTGGTGCTGAGGAATCGAACCCAGGGCCTCATGTATGCAAGGCAAGCACTCTACCACTGAACCACTTTCTCATCCCAATAATAGGTAGTTTTGTACACCAATTTTAGCCAAATGGGTAGAATGCTTGCTAAGAGAAATCTGACATCTGCATGTTCTCCTGAATCACACAAACAGCTTCCTTAGACCCCATCTCTTGGTAAAACACCTTTCCTGTCACAGATCCTTAGATCCTTAGAAAGGTGACTACAGTCAGTGATAAAATTGGATGTGCAAATGACTTAAATATATGCCAGTGAGTTGCTAGGTCTGTCCAGGCTACTAGATAAAACCTCTGCTTTCCTGGTCTGCACTCCTTAACCACTACTTCCCAAACTCAGAAAGACAGCCTGGTATTCAGGTCTAAGTGGGTCTCTCCTAACTGTATACTAGGCCAAGATCCAATTGGATCTCAGTTCAAAGGAGGCTAAAATCAGGGCTATGTAACAGCTAACTTCAGTTTCTCATCTTAGAGTCCCTGATGTCATTCAAGGTTACAGGAGAAAGTCTCTGTTGAACAGCACAGGCCAACATACAGCATCTGACATTTTAATCTCTTAATAAGCCCTTTTGTCCAGTCTTGTTGAAGTTCCATCTTCCTGCCATACTTTTGGAGTTATCTTTCTGTATTCCAGATCTCCGTTGCTCAGAGTTCACAGAATCCAAACTGAGTCCAAGTCTGAGTCTTCTCACAACACTTATTTTCCTTTTTGAAACCTCTAGTTACCCCATTTGCCCTACTCTGGCCTTTGAGTCACTTGTATTTGTCTGAATACCTTTTGTACCTTTACACTTAATCCTTAACCCTTGGAAGTATATATTTTTATCAAAGAAATTGAGGCTTGTGACATAGTCTGGGTGACAAGATTTCATTTATGTCTGTTCCTGTAAGCAGCGGGGCAAGTCTGATCTTCCATCCTCTACCCTGTGTTCATTTACTGAGTGTCTAAAGTATTCTCTGCCAAGTGTTGTACCCAGCTTGGAGGCTCAATAAAGTTAAAAGCAGAGCTTAACTTAGATCCCACACAGTCTTTTTGTCCTTTGGACTTAATTTCTCCACTTTTCTAGTACCAGGGCTCCAAGTTTTGAACATCAATTATTTTACCCAGATAGTAAGAGCTAAAGTTCATGTTAATAGCATACCTTCTCCAGGAGCCATGGGTCCTATGCCCCATCTTAGGCACATAGAAGGGGTAAGATCTTACATATGAGCACAGAATTGTAGGAGTTGAAGTCAGGGCCTCCCACTTGCTAAGCAGGTACTCTACCCCTTGAACTGTACCCTCAGCCCTTGCCTCATTTTTTTTTTTTTTTTTGGCCAGGGGTGGCCTTGAACCACCATTCTCTAGATGTCCATCTCCTGAGTAGCTAAGATTTAAAGGAGTAAGGTCCTCCACCAGGGCCCATTTTTTTTTTAAATGTCATTTAAGATTTTTACCCTCAAGATTTTTGTTTTCCTTAGGACTTTCTTAGATTAGTAAATCAGTGAAACCATAAATAATAATCTTAACATTTGTTTTTCCTTTGGACTATTTTCAATTCATTGACACATTTTCAGGTGAGGTTCTCTGGACATAAGCAGTATCCTAACTAGCTAACTCTAAGGGCTTTTTTATGTGAAATTCCTTCTGGAGGCAGAGGAGACCAGCAGACACCTTTTCATGGAGCCTCCTAACTTAGTGCTGCTGGTTGGGTTAGGCTGATAGGAATTAATTAGCTCCTGGGATGAACGTTTCCTGTTTCCTTCCTGATTGGTTAGCACCTTGTTAGCAGGGCTTCACTCCTGACTATTATCTTTAGAAAGATTAAAAGCTACAGTTTCACTTGGGAGGGGGTGGGGGTGGGGGGGTGGGCGTGGGCCAGTACTGAAATTTGAATTTAGGGCCTGGGCACTGTGATTTAGTGTTTTCACTCAACTCTATGGCTGGAGTTACAGCTCCAGTTTTTTATTTTCCTGGCTAGCTTCAAAAAGGTCCTCAGAGCTTGGCCTCCTGAGTAGTTAGGGTTACAGATATGAATCACTGGTGCTCAGCTCAAGCTTGCTGAGGAAAAAATTAAAGATGTACATTCCCCCCCCCACACACAAATATATAAAAATGTCCATATGGAATGTGTATTTTCTAATATTAAAGTTGCATACTGAAGTTTAGTTGGGCAAAATGAGATCATTTCATTTTTGGAGGAATTTTCCTTCAACACGGTAGAGTATACATTTCTTTGGACTCCTAAGAATACTTAACATGTACGAAGCAAATATGTGTGTTTTCTTTTTTCCAGAAAAAGCATTTCCTATTTATGCAAACCGTAGAAGGAGAATTGGTGAAATGCTTGTTGAGACACGTATGCCATTCTAAAGGAGCGGCCTTGCCTACTTGGCTACGAAAGATTTATAACATCGTTTACAACTAGGGAATAAAACTCAGAATTTTCTCTTGGTGTGATTTTGTGGGAAGTAGTGAAGGTCAGAGAAATGAGATTATTATGTAGCATGGGCATAGGCATGCCGCAGGCAGAGGCAAAGTGAGCCCCTAAACCCATCTTTCCTGTACTGACTGTGCTTCTGTTTTGAATAGGCGTAAAAAAACGGGGGCAAGAGAGAGTAGTGAGCATAATTATTAAACTGTCTCAGTCTCAGGTGTGGCCCAGTTGCTCATTATTTCAGGATTAGTCAAAGGTGTCTTGTTACAATCAGAAAGTCAATGCTGCCTGGTAGGAGGTCGCCTGGTCTTGGGTCACAGGATGTTAATCCATCCATCCTGTCTGTCTTGGATTCCAAAGTGATTGCAGGAAAGAGGCAGGGATGTCAAGCTCTTCTGCTTTTC